GTCTGAATACTGCTGAAAGTCTGGCCTTAAGCGATCTGTCCACCATCTGTGACAGTGCAGGTAACCGAGCACTTATCTTCCAAATCCTCGATTAGTGGCTACTTGCGGGTACATCCTTATGAGTCCATCTGGATGAGATAAGATATTTTTCTTTTGCTACAGCCCCTGTCAGAATTCCCCATTCACCATAGGCTTTTTCTTAAGCCCCTATGCATGTTAACCTGAGGAAAGGGACAGTACTGTGAGAATAGTCTTATTTCTTGCCCACACTGAGAACAGCAGTCTTTTGGCTGATTATTTTGAGAAGAGCACTAGAATTTCCAGTACCGCCAGTAGAGCTGGAGTTAGTGAGGAACTGGGCCTCTTTTCTGTTCCTGATTGTCATCCTGGCCTTTGGGATCCTCCTGTTAATATTAAGGTTCGTGGCTGCCCTGGTGACCACATGATGGGGTTGATTTCCAAGACCTGTGCAGCCAAAGTTTACTCATATAGACTACTCCCCTAGGCAATGCATGCTGATTTTCCACCTGTATTTGTAAGAATATCTTGCTTTGTAAGAATACCATGCTGAAGCAAAGGGTTGGATATATAGCCAAAGTCGTGACACAGCTAGGCTAGCCACAGTGAACATGTTGTTGCTAGCAGGATTTTCTGACTAATATGAATAAATGATTTCCCTCTCCCAATTTACAATTGTTATTAAAAATGTGCTCTCGGCCCTGCCTATTTCTGCCCTTTATGCATTTTTTTTTTTTTATCCCAGCCCCCTAGTTTCCTGGCATCATTGGGCTGGCTGGACAGAGGGGACCAAGCTAGGCAGAGGAGTATGCATTTAGGACCGTGTTTGAGCCTGTCCTCCCTGGGCACCATTTATCCAAATCTCATTTGACTGCAGCTATGGCGATGCTGTGCTGCTGCCTGGCTCGGTGATGAGCACGGCCGGGCACCTGCGATGGGCCGCCTCGGCCAGCCATGGCAGTCTTTGAGCAGCGTGAGAACCTGCCCGTCCTGCTCCGGCTGCAAAGCAAACCCATCGTCTGAGTCGCGCTCAACTCTGGCGTACATATTGTAGTTGTGTAGTTTGAGCATCATTTTAGTTAAAATTTGTCAGTTCTAAGTGGGGCATTTGGGAGCTTGCCATTCACTGTATTTATTCTCCCAATCCTATATTATCCTGTGCAGAGCTGTAGCTGCCAAAACCACATGCTCGTGTTGGCATGAAACAATTATCTCAGTTTATATAGAACAGGCTTGGCAGTAGTCTATCTCAAGGAACAGTCATAGTGCTGAAAGATTCAGATTCATTTTTTCCTCTCAAAGCAACAGACTGAATTTCTTTCAGAAGGATTCATGATTTTAAATAATAACAGGAGTAGACAGTAAGAGTGAGAGCAGACTGTATAGAAAGGACCTGTAAGGTCAGGAAGGAAGTGAGAATGAGATGCAGAAAGAGAAGACTATTTAAGATATAAGCTAGTAATTTGGTTTCTAAACCCATGAGAAATTATAAATAATGTTTAAATAATGTTTACTGTTGCCAGTTGCTGAATACAGAGAAGTGTGGGTTTTTACTTGCATGCAAAGCTATTGGTTGTGGGTGAAGTACTTAGACCAAAACATTAAATTGCTGGTGTGGGTATTCCACCAAAAATAAACCCAAACAAACACTGACATATTATAAAAGCACATTTTTCTGTGTAGACAGACTTGCAGTTGCCGCTGCTGTTCCGAACCCCAGCCCTATTAAAGCCTTCTGTTTAACTTATTTTCTTATACAAAGTAAAACAGCAATGTCTCTGAAACTTGAGAACCAAACAGTAAATGTTATATATTTTTCATGAAAACATGGTATACCCCCTACAATTACAGGGATATTTTTCAATGATAACCATTACTTGCTAAGGTCGTCTGTGTTGCAAAAAATGCAGCATACAAAAGGGCCGAAGGTAGGGGGTACAAAACTTTTCTTAAACTTTAAAAAAATGCTAACTGAAAGTAAACTTAAAGATTAATTGAAGAAAAATTGTTTCACAGTGATTAGCAAAGGTTTGTTTTTCCTCCTGTTTTCCAGATTGCTTCACAAAGGGTTTTTTAAATTGTACTCCATTATAACAGTTAGTGCTACTTCATTATCAGAACAGTGATAGAGATTTTTATTCCAGAAGGCCAGGCACTATCACTACTTGAAATTCTCCAGATTGTTTCCACTGCGAGCAAATTCAATCTTGATGCGAGTCACATTTGCTTAAAAGTTAATAGCAATTGCTTTTACTTTATGTCAGCATCAAATGTCACCTACAAGCTCAGATGTAAAAAACCAAGTTCGATCTCAGGGTTGGGATAGCTTTGTATAAGTGACTTTAAATCCAGAAGTCCTTAATATAAAATATTAAAATAAAAGCATTCAACTTTAGTGGTTTCGGGTTGAAATGGAGACATTTCCTTTCAGATAGGAATGTCTCATGTGAACTACACACACAAAAAAGGTCTATTTAAGTTTTTTCCACGTACAGACAAAAAATAGCTATCACACCTAAATGCAGTTTCTCATCCAAGTAGAGAAGACGTGGACTAGATGCAAGTGGACTGAGGAGCAGGGAGACAGGCAGCCTGCATGAATTGCAAGCTTAGCTGTCCACAAGGCCTTCAGGAATAATTGCCTCTCTAGCAGCACAGGGGCATCAGTCACCCTCGTGCTCCCGCGGGCTCCCTGTGGGCTCCCCAGCTCTCCGCGCTGGCCGGTGCAGCTGCTTCAGCCCCCAGTGAGGATTAGTGGGAGGAAATGTTTAGAGAAAGGTTTAGATTTCCTAAGCGAGTGGAGTGAAACCACCCTCAGCAATTATCGGTGAGCTCATGTCACAGAGCAGTTTGAAGCAGCCTGACTTGCGGGAAAGCAAAGGCCTTTTAGAAAGGAAATTTGACAAGTGAAAGATTCTGGGGAGCAGCTAGAGAGGTTTTAAAGGGGAAGAGGTGGCTTTTATGGAGAGGCAGCACTGAATGGGGTAGCTCTGAAAGTAACTTTAAGTCAGTATTTCACACACCTTAAATGTAAATGGTTGTTATAAGTGTCCTAAAAGAAAGTGCAGCTATTGCAGTGTTCAGGTAAATAAAATAACATTGCAGGGTCATGCAACCAAAGCTACCATGATGGCATCCAGCTACAGCATCCTCATTCTCTACTTTGCAACTGATTTTTCACTATAGCTATGTCTGAAAGCAAAGGGAGGGTGACAAACCCAGTAAATAGCCAGAAATTACAAGAGGAAAGCTGGCAGTGATCCACATTTCACAGGTGTAAAATTCTGTCTGCTGTGGCACTGTCCCTGATGGCAGCAACACATCTTGGAATCTAAACATTCATTTCAGTTAAAAATGAAATAAAATAGGACCATTCAATTGACGCTATCAGCTTTCAGATTACTGTGGTAAGAAAGAACATAGGCTTCAGGCAGCTATTAAGATTAAAGTAAAATTCACCTGAGCAAAACTGGAGATAGTGAAAGAGCTAAGGAAAAAAAAAAAAGCCAGTTCAAAACACTGCCCCATGGTAGCTATTGAAAAGGGCCTTGTTTTTCCCCTAAAACACTCCACCAGCAAACCTGTGATTTAATTTATAGCACTTGCAGCACCCTCCAGTTCCCAATCTCAACGCCCCTTTGGCATGGGAAAAGAGCATTATCCTTATTTTATAGATAAGGAAACTGGTTTATCAGCTTGCCCTCAGCAAGAGGCAGAGCCTGGAATAAAACTTGGCTAGGATGCAGGTACCTCAAGTGAGGGCAAACATGCATTTAAAACAGCCTCAAAATGTGATCTTTGGTTAGGGGCCATTACTTCAGAAATGCTAGTTTCAAGTCACACAGAGTTTCTCCTCAGTTGTGTATTTACCCCAAAGTCTCCTCCTTCTCCCACAGCAAAGCCTTTGGTGGGGGGGGGAGAAGAGGGAGGGACTCTGAACGTGACAGAAGGGGAACATCCAAGTGTTCAGAGACTAAAAGAACTGCATTGGAGCCCTTGTATTAAAAATTATTTATTTAGTGATCTGTACATGGGATGAAGCAGGGCCTCATACAGACCTTCCAAAAAAATCAAGTAAAAACATAAATACATATTTTCTTACAAAAATGAAATTTACAAAATATACATACTGCACTTGTCTTACAGTTTTTTTTTTCCACGTGCACATTATAAAAGACAAAAACCCAAGCCCTACAAGTCTGAGAACAGACAGACTGAAGGATTTGGCTGTTGGGCTGTTCCTCATACCCAGACTACTGGTTTGCCTTCAGACAGCAGTAGTCTGCCCCCTCACCTGGAATATTTTTTTCCTTTTTAGTTTAATTCCAGACACTTCCCCCCCCCCAAAAAAAAAAAAAAAGAACAGCAGCTATAGGGTGGAGACTTGCTAAAAATCCACAATTTCCTATTTTGTCCATAGGCAAGAAAATATATACACACACACATATATTTATAAAAACAAACCTTTCAGTGAATATAAAGGTAGAGTAGTATTTAAAAATAAAATATGAAAGAGTCAACATAAAATTTTAATAGAAAATTGTCACATTTCAAAAAAAATGCTGCATCTGATGATTAATTTTTGAATGTCTTTCCTTCCAAGATGTGATCAGTGGAAGCTTAAACTGCTGTATTTTTAGATAAAAATGAAAAGGTTGCTCATAGTAACTGCTTTCTTTTTAAAACCAAAACCCAGCTGCCCCCAGCCCTCTCCTGCTCCACGAGTCATCGTTATGTGGTTCAGGGAATCGGAGGAGCTGGCAAATTTGTCCATCGTGAGCAAAAAGTATTCTCCCTGTCCCCAGCGCCCAGCTGCCTATCGACTTTACCTGCAGCAATCTCACTGCAAAACAGGAGAGAAAGCAGGTTTACTAGAACGAAGGTGGGGGGGGGGGAAGAGAAACATCTTTATCTTACATATTTTAATAGGTCTTGTTTTGGCAGGTGCTCTCAGTTATTCTTTTTCCCTCAAAAAATTAAGCTTTGCATTTCCTCCAGCTTAGAAAAGCAACCCATACCGAACAGTACGAAAACATCCTGCCTCCTCCTTTTTCATAAAAGGAATGTTTATTTCTGTGAGCTCCTCACATCCAAGGGTGAACCTCAACGACTTCTTTTTGTTAGTTTGCCCATAAAAAGCGATCCCATGCTTATGCCTTTCTACATAGAAAACACTTTTGTTTCCCCCTTTGTCTCCTATAACAAAGGCAAGGGGGAAAAGCCTTCTGCTGAAAAGCAACAAGTCATTTCTTTTCAGGGTGTGGAATAGCAACCCCCTCCTTCCTCCACAGCAGCAAGAATAACACACTCAAGGCAGACTTTTCACTTTAAAATAATGAAAACAGGTATCACTGAGGGGAAAAAAAAAACTCCTAAGCTGACAGAGTAGAGGCATCTCAACAGCACAGGATCTGGACTGGCAGCTTGTTGTACAGTACTCACGTGATTGCTCCACTGTGGTTCAATGAGCAGACAGTAACCTAGGGCTCTGAAGTTACCCTGCGAGAGCTGCAATTTGACCTCAGGAATTCAGAGATAGTTTGGCTACTTCTTGGCAGGGGCTGCTCAATGGATGTGGCTTTCCCTCTCTCCTGTCTCATCCAAAGCAAGGCAGGACGTTTTGAGGCCCCCCCCACCCCCCGCATAGGGAAGAGGTAATGGGAACTTCTTGCAGGTAAAGGACTCTCCCACCCCACCAGTGGCCTGAGAACCCTTTTCTGTGCTCTTCCAATTAGCTGGGCATAAGCACCCTTGGACACAGGGCATCTGGTCCTTTATGCAAAGATTCTTTTTCCCCCTGGGAGGAAGCAAAAGTTTTAGAAAGCCTCCCTTTCCTCCTCCTTTGGGGAGCCATCACCTCCCTTCTGCTGAGTATCCCTCTTCTGTGTGTGTGTGTGTGTGTATGTGTGTGTGCATGCAGAGGGGGCAGGAGGGTCTCATACTGCTGTCTCTCCCTTGCTGCCAGTGCTGAGTCTGTGGTAGAAGCGTCGCCAGGACTGAAGGGTTTTGCCAGACCAGATCCAGAAGCCAGTTGTGATACCAACAATCATGGTCATGAGGTACTTGATCATGAAGACAGTGAAGTCAGGGCTCATAGGGGCAAAGTGGCTGGGACAGGGCACAGCATAGGATTTGCAGGTCTGGAGGAGCCACGTCTTCTCCCAGGTGCCACGGAAAGCCTGCTCATAGAAATAGCACGCCAGGACAATGGTGGCAGGCACTGTGTACAGGACACTGAAGACACCAATGCGCACCATCAGCTTCTCCAGTTTCTCTGTCTTGGTGCCGTCATGCTTCATGATGGTTCGGATGCGGAACAGGGACACAAAGCCAGCAAGCAAGAAGGAAGTGCCGATGAACAGGTACACAAACAAAGGTGCCAGGACAAAGCCTCGCAGGGAGTCCACGCTGTAGATACCTACGTAACACACCCCACTGAGCACGTCCCCATCCACCTGCCCCATGGCCAAGATAGTGATTGTTTTGACAGCAGGCACAGCCCAAGCAGCAAGGTGGAAGTACTGGGAGTTGGCCTCAATGGCTTCATGGCCCCACTTCATGCCAGCAGCCAAGAACCAAGTGAGGGACAGGATGACCCACCAGATGGAGCTGGCCATACCAAAGAAGTAGAGGATCATGAAGAGGATGGTGCAACCTTCTTTCTTTGTGCCCTGGGCCACAGTGCGGTAGCCATCCTCAGAGAAGCGCTCCAGGCATACCACACGCTCCTCCAGCAAGAAGCCTGCCGCATAGGCCACTGCCACCATGAAGTAGCAGCCTGAGAGGAAGATGATGGGCCGCTCTGGGTAGCTGAAACGACGCATGTCCACCAAGTAGGTGAGCACGGTGAAGAGGGTAGAGGCGCAGCAGAGCACAGACCATACGCCCACCCACAGCCGGGCAAACCGCACCTCCGCCTCCTTGAAGTACATCAGCCCGTTGGGCCGGGCTGGCTCACAGGGGGCCCCGCAGTCCCTTTCCCCCAGGAAGCGGTAGCCCAAGTAGGGGGGCACCTTGAGCTGCCGGGGGCAGGAGAAGGAGAAGCCAGCGGGGGACTGCGGCGGGGTGAGGAAGTCCGGGAGG